ATTTTTGTGTTACATACAGCTAATGTATTTGTTAGACTGATTTGTACAAGCCTACATGTCAATTTTATGGCATGGAGAAAATTGTCAGACCCATGAGGGAAAGAAACTGTAACAGAAAACATTTGGAATGAGAGGAATGGTGGATCGATAAACTGAATACCTGCATGCCTCAAGGGCTGAAACAAAGCTGGGGCATTAGTTTATGTATAAAATAGAGTTTTTTTTGTGTTTTGCTTTGTGGAATTTTGTTTAATTTTGTATGTATTTGCTTTTCATATGTATGTATGTTTTAACTCACACCTGTGAAAACTGCCACCTATTGGTGGGTGTGGCTTTTTATAGGTGTGAGGTATACTGTCCAACTTTGCTATGATGAAGGCACTATTTGGGTTGAAATGCATAAGCGTGGAAGCATACATGGAAATGTTATTGTGTTCAGTAAAGAATTCAAGTAATTGCAGGTTTGTGTGCTGCTCTTTACCTATTTAATAGACTGATTTGTGTACGCCTACATGTCTACAAGAATAAGGGGTCTATTTATAAAAAAAAATATATAGTTGGGCAAACAAAGTTTTTGTTTTTTTTTTTTTGGAGTGACTTGGAGTTAAATTCCTCTTAAACTAAAATTAACAACTTGATTGTGATTATTTTTTATTCCATAACATGGAGGGATATGTGGAACATAGTCACCCAATTGTTATCCTAATGTTTTATGTGAACAGAGACGTAAAAATGCTGACAGCATCCATACAGATTGTACTTTGGTTTTGACATTGCATTTAAGCTATTCTTGTATGCTGTAATAACCAATAACAAGCTGTTGGTGTTTATTTCCAATTAAATTTCCATGATCCGATTATTTACCAGGTTTTATAGTTGTATCTTACTCAAAGCAGACAGTTAAAAGTGAAAAAGTAAGTAAAAATGCTATTCATATACAAAGGAATCTTATAATTTGTTTTCAGAAAATGGATGGTCTTTTCACACTGAGTAAAGTATAGTGCCAACTTAGCAGCAAAGAAAACTATATTCACATAGACTGTAGAATAACTGGGATCAAGTTGGTATGAGATAAACTCTAAAGGTACACTACTGTGATTACCTTGCACATGCTGAAATTATGGATATGTGCTACATTTGCAATTTTGTGGCATGAAACGATATCTTACCATGAACAGCTAAAGTCATGAAAAATTCATAAAACAAATAAATTAAAAATGGACATACATAATAAAAACACAGTAATTATGAGGCTTCTACCAAGCTGATATTTACACTTTTAATATCCCAGAACTTTTCAGGGCATTTAAAGGCCAGGTGATTAAACTTTCTAGCAGTTCTAGAGGTCCAGAGGGCTAATATTATTTTAACCGCGTAGGCTTACACAGCCAGCAAGAAACATTATGCACTGAGATACCTCAAAGGAATGATCAGAACATGGGAGAAAAAAGTTTACTTCTGATAATAACACCCTCAAGATAGGGAACCTGTAACTTTTTCCTACATGTCAGGTTACAAGCTGAACTTACAAAGACTGAAGTGCTACCTCTTAACCTAGCCTCGAACACCCTTTCGCTGTTACACTCCTCCTTTACTTACCACTGGAATACAGATAAATGTAAATATGCGTTTACTTAACACCTAAGATCTTGCAGCTCTATGGTGCGAACTACCCTTCACTATTCAAGAAATTTAACAACATCCTATTTAGATAGAAATGCCTTTGGTTATCCTGGATAGATAGAATCCCCTCTATTAAAATGATGCTACTCCCTAAAATAGTCTACATCTATGAAACACAAGCTATTAGAGTTCCCCCTCCTGACTTAAAAAAGCTACAACAAACTCTTTTTGATTTTTACTGGGGAAGTGGCAGACATAGAGTTGCCAGACAGGTATTACTAGCACACAAATCGCAAGGATGCTTAAACTTCCTTGATGTTTCAAAATACTATTTTTCTGTCCAGCTACCCCACCTGAATTCTTGGTCTACACTACATAATTATGTAGTGTAGTGATTGAACACCTTTGGATAGCCCTTTCCATAATAACATATTATCGTGGTCTAGTAAAACCTGTGTCAGAGACGCCCAATTTTTACTCTCTATGATCCATACTACATACATTTGGTCTTGTTGCAATACTAAATTCCATCTATCCCGAGGCCTCTTACATTACTTCTTTTTCAGGTATTCCCTTGTTTCTTTTCAGCCTTTCAGGCAGATGGCCTATCTGTGTCTGGAACATTTTGCATTTGTGATATTGTGGACCCCATGAACAGACAATTACTCCCTTGTAAAATTACAGTCTACTTATACCATGGTGCCTAAAACGTTGTTTACTTATTTACAAATCAAACACTATGCACAGTTGCTTGCTGATAATTTTACATTTGCTAAATTATCTCCCTTTGAGAATATTTGCTTGGAAGGCCCCATGAGTCAGCACCTCATTACTGAAATCTATAGATTCTTCACAACAATTGACTCCCTTCCTATTCCTAAGCATAAGAAAAATCTCTTGGCTGCACCCTGGATTTATAGGAGTGGGAGGATATCTGGTATAGCACTAACAAGACTTCTTTGTGTACTTAGTATAAGGAAAACTAATACAAGATTTTATTTCACTGGTACCTTACACCAACAACCCTTCATGCGATTACTCCACTTATACCTCCCGCTTGTTGCTTGAATGATTTTATTGTGCATCCATATCCCCTGTACCAATTTACATTAGTATTTTCTTTTAAAAATCTTTCAATGAACAGAAATGTAAATAATATTCTCAAGATTGTGCATGTCTGATTCTTGGAAAAAAATACACCAGCAGAGAACACTGGGAATCCCAATATTATTTTGAAACCCAGTAGATAGACTCCCTGATGGTCATTGCCAGTCTGCTGCCATCATTTTATGCTGATACCTTTAAAAGTCCTTATAGTTGAACGTATAACATTTTATTCTTATGTATGGATTATCTTACAAATCTTCTTTTTTATTTGGGTAAAATAAGATTTAAAGTGGTCCCCAGAATGTGTATGTGTGTGGTGCTTGAATATAGACCTAACAGTAGACAATTTACAAACAAAATCATAAAACACATTTATTGTTTACCATAGCCCTTTATCAGAAGTACTACTTTTTTGCATACAACAATTTACATCACTAGAATTATGCATAAGATATTGGGCCCCATTCATTTACCCTCTCTTAGTTATAGAGCGGGATATTATATCATGCATTGAAGATTTCCCAACATGTTTCTCTTTCAATGGGGAGTATGTAGTATCATTACATTGCATCAATCTCACTCATTTAAAAATGCCCCACCCTCAATATTACAGGCACACTCACCAATTTATATTTAAGAATAAGAGTTAAAGTTGAAAATATATGCAGCCTTTTTGCACATATTGATCAGAGTAATTAATTCTCATATTTTATTTTGAATTTAGTTTATAATTAAATGCTGTAGGTACTGTTGTCTGGTTAAGATATTTTGCACAGCTCTTGCAAGGCTCCTCAGCTCTGACCTACATTAATAATACTGTTCCACTCTACAGATTCCTTGATCAGAAACTGACATTTGTGTTGAAAGATGCCAAATTTTATAGAGATTCTGTGATAAGGACAAATGTCCTCAAGGCACGGTGTTTACCAAACACTGCTCTTGTGCAGATTAACCCTGTCTGTACATGAATAGATACTGTACATAAGTCAACAATATTAATGAAGCATATCACCAATGGAATACAAACATGTAACTGAAGACAGTATTCCAACACAGTGTAAAAATAACATTTCAACTTATGAATGGCATTAGATGCTCCAGCATTAGATCGATTTTCCTATTGAGTAATGCATTAAGAAAACAACTACTGCCACCTGATTGGTAAAACCTTGGATTGGTAAAATGCCATAGTTTCAGCATTAACAGCTTGCTGACCACCCTATTGCAGAAATACTGCTGCAGGGCGGCATGGGTGCGCACACTCACGTATATACGTGATTGTGCATTTCTGGGTATGGGGCGCATGTGAGTCGCGCGCCCTACCTGCGCCACCATTCATGGACGCGGCTGTAAATCACCGGGTCCCGGCCGGTAAATACTCGCCGGCATCTGGTGATTTCTGAAGATCTCCAACAGGGAGGAGTACTGTTTTGTTTACTAACAGTTCTCCTCACTGTCAGCTTGGACACACTGCTCTGGATGGCTGTGCACTGAACAGCCATCCAGAGCAGTGTGATTACAGTGAAGCACACTGACGCAGCCCCCTAGTAAAACCCTCCCTGCACACAGTTAACCCTTTGATCATCCCTCATGTTAACCCCTGCCTGCCCAGGGCCATTATACAGTGTCAGTGCTTTTTTATAGCACTGATCACGGTATTGGTGTTACTGGGGATGCCAGCGACACCAAGTCAGTTCCCCCCCAGTGTCAGAATTGTTGGTCTTTTTTTTTATAGCGCAAAAAATTAAAAACACACAGCCGAGGTGAGAAGAGAATCTCTACCGAGGTTCAGTGCCGACTATGTCATTCCAAATTGGTGGTGGGGGGGTCACTCCGTTGTCTGAGGGGTCTTGAGTAAAGAGCCAATCACCACACGTATAAAAACACACAGCCGATCAAATACCACCAAAAGAAAGCTCAATTAGTGGGGAAAAAGGGTGCAAATTTTATTTGGGTGCAGCGTTGCATGACCGTGCAATTGTCGGATAAAGTAACAGCACCGTAACGCAAAAAAAATGGCTGGGTCAGGAAGGGGGGGGGGGTAAATCCTCAGGAGGGCAAGTGATTAAAGTGTTACTAAACACACAACAGTAAAATCAGCCTGTGTATGCAGTAAAGTATGCTTGTTATACTCACTGTGGAACCTAAGGGGTTACTCCTCTGCATTGTGTAAAAAGGCCGTTTGTTCCTGATTGCTCTGTTCCTCCCCTTGTTTAAGCAACCACCTCGTATCTCCTGATAAGACAGACTGAATAGTATGCATTTTGCACATACTCAGTTTGGTGTGTATTGCTAGTGTTTTTTTTTTCTTGAGAGAGTGCATGTGATCAGCGCAGGGCCAATCAGCACTGGTCAGACACAGGACAGGGGTTTTGTATCCTCACTGAGCAGAAAGAAAACTCCTACAAGCTTTAGCTAGTGCTTGGCTGAACACTGATAGAAGCCACAAGACTGCTCTAACTTCTGATGAGAAAAGGTATTTAGCAGTTTATAGTTACTAAAATAATTGCACTTACATGTTCTGTGTACTGTGGGAGAACAGATATAGTGAATGCAGGGTTCTGAGTTTAGTAACTCTTTAAAGTGGAACTTCACTTTACTTTATGCTAGCATTAGCAAATAGGAAAGTATATCATATTTATTTGTTTTAAACTTTTTTTTTACATTTCTTCAGTTACTTTGTGTTCCATGCGTAGGTAAATGATGTCATACATCCCAGAAGTCTTCAAGGGTTGAGGAGGGGTTTTCTCAGGTAAGCACACACTACTGACTGCACGCCCAAGTAAGAGCAGATGGATTCCAGAAAGTAAATGATACATGAATCACTCAAAATGGCCATGGCCAGAAATACAAGGGGAATGTTTTTCAAAGTGATTTCTCAGCAAAATGCAGCATGAGGACATGGATGGATGGGTGAGATAGTGTTGAATGTTAGCATGAATAAATAGTGTTTTTGGTGTGTGGTAGTCAGATGCAATGTAGTTCTGCTTTTACATGTCTGTGCTGACTGTCATCATTAGCATTATTCCCAGTGAAATCTCTGGACTACAAAACAACCCTGTATAACATAGAGAACAGAGGGGGAGGTGTTTTTTTATTTGTGTTCTGGGCTTACAATACTGATCCTTCATATAGGTTTGTTACTGGTAGATTAAAATAATAGAAACAATAAAAAACTAATATTAATTACCACATTAAAGGACTAGTAAACTGCAATATAGTACAGTTTTGTTTTTGGGTTAGGATACACTTCAAGGTAAGTGCGTGTGTTGTGCACTCTTTTATGTTAAGATGACTAGAGATATAATTACCATGTAGATGAACCACAATAGTCATTTCCTGTTACAGTTTCAGTTCTTTGGAATGTGAAGTGTAATTCCATCCTTTTTTGAGAAATTCTGTGAGGTATGGCAGGGTATATAATTTATAAATATAATTTAGTAAAATGTATTTATCAACTATATGCCTAGGAAGACTGTCTTTATATTAGCATTCAGCATTAGGGTGGAACTTATTTTTTGCATACTTACAGTAGTCTGGTTTGATGATGTAAGTATCAATATGTGATATCCAGTGGGCCAATGGGGATGCTGAAGTTAACTGTAGTAGTCCACGCTACTTATAATTGTAGCGGTGATCTTTTGGGTACTGCTCCAGCAGCTTCCCCTCTGCATGCTGACCACAGGGGGTCACTCATTCAGCACTACCATCATGCCTCTTAGTTTTTTTTTTTAAAGAATACAAGGTGTTCTCTGATTGGACATAGTAGAAATTAGGGATTTATGAGTTCACAATTTCTGCCTAATCCAATAATGGAATTACTTGCTTTCATTAACAAAATGTTGATGCCAAGTAAACAACCAACTGTGGTCAGCATGCAAAGAGACAACAGCTGGAGCAGCATCTAGAATATTAACACTTTCACTGTATGTAGTGCAGACTACTACAATGATTTTCGGCATCCCAGCGGCCCTCTGTATATCAGATATAGATGCTTACTTGTAAGTAAGGAAAAAGATAATTCCTCTAAGATCATCCTGTTTTAAGTAACCGCTTCCTCCTTATAGAAATGGGAAACTAACTGGTATTTACAAATATTTGTCTTTCTGGGTAAAAAGATAAATGTTGCTCAATCAATTCTAACCTAGAATTCTGTGTTGTGAAAAAGGAGAAGCTCCCAAAGGGCTGCATCATGGTAAGTCCACTAATTCCAGGTTACAGGCAACTTGAACAGCTAAACTAAAAGTTTTGTGATTGTAAGACCAAGTACAAAATATTATTAATTGCAAACCTCAGAGAATCCTAAAACTGTTTAAACGGTGTGTTAACTTTGTGGTTTATTAAGTTTCCACTTCAGCTCCAGAAGATTTTACCCGCTTCATGACCAGGGCATTTTTTGCTATTTAGCACTGTGCTGCCTAAACTGGCAATTGTGCGGTCATACAACTCTGTACCCAAATTAAGTTTACATCATTTTTTTCACACAAATAGTGCTTTCTTTTGGTGGTATTTGATTACCACTGAGTTTTTTTTTTATTTTTTAATTGTATAAACAAAAAAATACCAGAAATTTTGAAAAAAAAAAAAAAAACATTTTTTTTACATTTTGTTGTAAAACATATTCAATAAAAAGATTTAAAAAATCAAATTTCTCCATAAATTTAGGCCAAAATTTATTCTGCTACATGTTTTTAGTAAAAAAAAAAATCCCAATTAATGTATATTATGGAATTTTTATTTATTTGTTCTATACAAGTTATGGCAGTGATCAGCAACTTATAGTAGGACTTTGATGTGCAGCGGGCAATCTGAAACTAACTGACACTTTGTGGGAATTGACTAACTGCCACTGACATCTCCAGTGATACTAATACAGTGATCAGTGCTAATAATACACACTGTCACTGTACTAATGACAATGGGAACGGGTTAACATTTAGGGCAATCAAAGGGTTAACTGTGTGCCTAACAATGTTTTCTGTGTGTACTGTGTGCTGTTTTACTAAGCAATGTGCTTTGCAGGGAGAAAAGAAAAGCACGTTTTGCTGTCTGAAGAGAGCCCTGTGTTGTTTACCAACACAGGGCTCTCTTTTGTCATTCGCTCAGCCACTCAGCAGGTTCTGGTCATATATCATTGTCTGGGACTCACTGATCGGCTTGTGCTGTAGCAAATGACAGCACAGCCGGGGTGGCGCACACACGTGTACCCCCTACCTAGAAGTCCCAATTCATATGCATGTACGTGATCTGGCACAGGAGAACTGCCGACCCTGCAGTATAACTGCATGGGCCAGGCAGCAAGCAGTTAAACTAAATTGATGGTTACTGGGAATTACAGTATGTCTTACTTAGTCTCTGTAATATTGAACATGCAAACCACTTTTACCATGTTGTATTCCAGACAGAAATTTCAGATCATTTAACTAATATTCAAAGGTAGCAATGAATGGACTGTTTCAGGAATACAATTGGCTGACTGCTCTTTACTGATTTCAGTGGTTCTTGGCCATCAATTACCAGAAAGTGATGTCTTGAGACAATTGCTAGAAAGCAGTATTTTTTAGTTCCAGTTATGCTTTATTATTCCAGACAAAGTGAATTATTTTCCAATATTTTATATATGGAACATGAACTATAGAAATTAATATTTAAATATACAAGCTAAATATTTCACTTTTAACAATGAGTCAGTTTTGCAAAAAGGTTAATTTAAGCAAAGTGCAAACAGAGCAGGCTTGGCTGACTGGGTGAATTGGTATATTCTGATATGGGGAATTCAGTAGTTTGCATGCTGTTACGAAGGACAAAGATTTGTTGCCATGCTACAACTGAATTTAGCACCCAGGGTGTGTAATTTTAATAATATATATAGTTTTTAGCACAGTAATAGAAGGTATTATTTCATCACATAGCCCAAAAATAAGGGGAGTATTCTTCATTTTAGGACAGTGAGAAGAGCATTGCAAATAATTGAATTCTTCATGCAAATACATACAACCTAAATTGTATTGTGTGTTTAATTATTTAGTTCTGCTAAAAGTGTTGCTTAATCTTAAGAAGAAAAAATAAAAATACTCAACAGCAATTCAAACATTTTGTTGTATGGATTTTCTCATATTTAAGTGCTTGAGCTACTGATAAAAAAGGAAAAACATGCTTGATGAATTTTGATTAGACATTAAATCAATGAAATGTTACAGTTTAAAAACTGAAATAACATGTTCATGGGGACTTCTAAAATCTTCTGTTCTTTTAAAACCAATTTCTGTTTACTTTGCTTGCAGGACTTTTACAGACAAAGGAGACATCTACTGGCTAAAGTAGAGATTGCAAAGGTTTAAATTACAGTCCAGCTTGCTACTGAAACAAGGAGACAAATACCATTATGGGCAGGCTAATGACACAAATTTAACATGTTATGTTTTTAGAGTAAGAAAAAGTGAATTTTAACTGTTAAATATACAAAAAAGATTAATTTAAATTAAACAGGTCAATGTATTGTTTTGATTGTCTTTGACTGCAGTGAGGTTTGTAAATACTAAATATTATATTAAATAATTTAGGCCATTCTAAGACATACATTCCAATCACTGCATTAATGCTTAATGCAAGCACATTACTTCTCACTCTTGTCTAGTCAGTGCAGTTCAGGATAGTGTAAAACACTACAAAACAGATTTTGGATCACAAATCTGGGGCAAGAAAACAATAGTACATAACATTGTTTATTCTCTATATTAAAGTGATTCTAAAGGCTTAAATGTTTTTAAAATAAAATAACAAACACATCTACACTTACCTGCTTTGTGCAGTGGTTTTGCACAGAGCAGCCTGGATCCTACACTTCTCAGGTCCCCTGCTGGTGCTCCTGGCCCCTCCCTCCTGTTGGGTGCCCACACAGCAAGAAGCTGCTCCGTGTGTCCATTCACACACAGAGATGCTTCAGCCCCTCCCCTCTTCTCATTAGCTCACTGGTGGTGACTGACAGCAGTGGGAGCCAATGGCTCCTGCTGCTTTCTCAGCCAATGAGGAGAGGGAGTTTGGGATAGCCAAGACTCCAGTGCACATTTCTGGATCGAGAGGGAGCTTAGGTGAGTATTGGGGGGCGGGGCTGGGGGGGGGGATGCTGCACAGAGAAGGATTTTTCTATGCATGAAGGTAAAAATCCTTGAGACTTTAGATCCGTTTAACATATTATATTGACAAGGTATATTTAGCAATTCAGTATAATTAAAGCAAGTTATTAAAATAGTAGTAAACAGCAGGAAAAAAGGTCCCCTGCAAGGTAATGTCTTAATGTACTAGTATAGAGATGGTCCTCCTGCACTACCTCCCTACCCACAATGACCCCCAAAAGCAAAGTGGCTGCAAACACCTAACTATATTCCAAAACTAGTGAAAACAAATAATGGAGTGAAAATGTGCTACGCTACTTAGTGAATGAACAGTAGAAACATAAATACAATAAACCGAATACAAATATACCCCTCATCAAAGTGTAAACATAACATATCCAAAAAACATGTGAATGGGTGCAAAAAAATTACAAATGACAATAACA